CTGCGGTCAGGCATCAGCCATCGCTAAATAGGTTGCCTTTATTCACCTCCGCGTTTTGACTGGTATCACTAGTGGTGCTCCATGCGAACGCACTTTCTCGCTTATTTGTAAATTTCTTATTTTCCTAAATTCAGTGACTTGGACAAGAGGCCTGCGCCATTTTTTAATCATTTCGCTTCCATCCAACTGGAAAAAATTAAAAATCAGCGGTTTAGAGAATTTTTAAAATTTTCTATTTGCTTCTGCAGAAACTTCGCGATAACACTCGTTTTCCCTCTACTATTTCTGAAACTCGATTTTTGCGCTCGCCTGATTTTTCCTTCATGTTGCTCTTCGATCGAAGTGTTCATTATGTAAGTAAACTCATTCAAAAGTTTTGATGTAAAATACATTCAAATTCCGATTTCTTTTTAAAATTCCAATTGAAATAAAAGCTTTGTACGGCAGTTGTGTTTTTGTAGGAAAATGTGAATGAGTTTAATTTTCTTAACGGATCTCGCAATGGTCCTCAGATACTGTAGAAATTTGTAAAAGATTTCATTGCTTTCTATTAATTGTCTTTTCTTTTTGGCTTGTAGTGTGGTTGGTACAAAATGGTTGGTAGCGTGTTTTTTTCTTCCACCCTCCCCTTGGCAAAATTGCTTCAATGCACGACCATAATTTTGCGAGCAATTTGGTTAATTTTTTTGTTTTCGGCAACTCAGTCTGAAAATCCAGAAGACTCTACCTCTACCTCCGTGTTCAAGGGAGTCCTTGCATTAACTGTTGGATGGTGTGTGTGTTGGAGTAAGAGTGGTCCTAATTTTTTGCATTAGCTTCTGCAGTGCACTTTGCAAGATTGATTTTGATATATTATTATTAATTATTATTATTATATTATTATTTTATTATTGTATTTGCAGGTCCCTTCGTTGATAATAATACTCGTAAATTCAGGAGGCAGGGCATTCAGACTCCTTGAATGCTTTTCAAAGACCTGCTCCTGTGGATGTTACGCAAGCTGGAATTCGCAGGCTACTCAAGAAGAAAATTTTTACTTTCTATGGTAAAGAAATCTACAGCATTTGAGAATGTAATGTGGTTGAAACGACATTTAAAGTTGTGGGGTCAACGACTGCACATTTTTTGTATTATTGGTGATTGGTGATGGCAAGGAAAGTCTTTCGAAATTTTTAAAACCTTGTTCTTTGTATGTTAAGGTATTATTTAACTTGAAAATTTTTTTGAAAACTATTTTTAGCCTTTACCTCTACTATTCCCTGTTCTTTAAAGGCTTCATCTGCAAGAGAGATTCTTGGAGTGAAACATAAAGGATTCTTCAGACAATGAATGCACTGCCATGTCACAGAAGTTCTGAGGCATTTGAGAAACCTTCTGCATCTGAAGATTATGAAAGTGAAGAATACAGTTTCATCTTCTTTTAAGTGTGTTCGCCTCTGAGGATTATGATGACTTTTGTGAACGCGAAGTGGAAAGGAAATATAATCTAACAAAACTCACTATCCAGTGATCTCAAATGAGTTTGTCTCAGATGGAAATTGAGCAAAAGTTTTATTGCCTTTTAATAGAATTAAAAGATGTGTAAGTCTTTTCTGAATACTTTTTAAGTTATTTTACAATTGCAAAAAAGAAAAATACAAAAATGTGGCGTAAAAAATCTTACAACTTTTGCAAAACTGTGTTTATGTACTTAAATTTCCCATTAATCCACTTTATCAACTTATTTCACTCTTTGGACTGTGAATTATAACGTTAATGAAATATTAGTTTTTTTTAGTGTTTTTATTATAATTAACATGTTTTTACATATGTTAACTCATTGAAATTGAAAATACAACTTGAATTGAAAAATACAAAATTATGGCCTAAAAAAATTAAATATAGAAATTCTAATTATTTCCTCTGTAATTTACAATTACCATCAAGAGCCCTCGGTTTATTTAATTCAATAATTGTATGAATTAATTCAATTTAAAAAAAATCGGTGAGCGTTTTAGACGCTGTGTGTGATTGACTGATGGCCTTCACTGACACATTTTGGCCGTCAATCAATCGATTTTTTTTTGTCACAAGGACCCACATAACATGGCTTTGACTATAAACCACAATTGAAGAAATAATTTTATGGTGAAAAGCTCTTATCATTTTTTCGTTATCCCAGGGCTGTGTTTCTGTCGAAAATCCCCAATTTCGGCACAACTCTTACTCTTTAAAGGGCGTAAGGGAATATTTGAACTAAAGCAATGCGTGGCGTAGTCTTGGTTAAAATTGTTTTGGGGCGTCTCGGGCAAAACTGTCAATAACGATTGCACCATATTAGGTTTTCTTTCCTAATCTCAATGCAACAAAATAAGACTGATAAAATAAACATCATATACCAAAAATCTCAAAATCAATAAAAAATAAAACTGCAATAAAAAAGATAATAACACAAATAGAAAAAAACAAGAATGAAAAAATCAAAAATATCAAACTAACATAGTAAAAAATAATAAATAGAAAACAAATTCTCAAAAAACAAACAAAAAACCAAAAATAAATAACTCAAAAAAAAAAAGAAAAAAAAGTAATAATTGAAAAGAAATTGGAATAAACAATAAAAATAAAATGTAAACAAAAAAGTCTCAACTCAAAAATAAATGAAATAATAATAAATATAAATAATATAAAAATACTCAAAAATGTCATAAGAAGAAAAAAAATATCAAATATAATTCAAAAGTATTAAAATAAAATAAATAATAGAAGATATCAAAAAAAAGACTCAACAAAAATAATAACTCAATATGACATAAACAATAATAAAAAAAAAAAACTAACAATTCAAATCATATAATCTAAGATAATAAAATTAAGAAAAAATACAAATAGTTCAAAAAAATAAAATAATATATTATAAAAAGAAATCAATAAAAAGTGGCCCTACTTTTTACTTATGATTGTGTACAAATTTAAAACGTTTTCAGGTTGGCGAATGAAATCTCTCTTCCACTGAATAATATGTTAAAACAAAAGTTATTTAAGTCACTCACTTGTATACTTGATGTGAGCATCAAGTTGTGATTTCTTCTCCTCTCAAATACTCTTTCAAAGAAATGGGAAATACAGGTACTTACTACTTTCCCATCCGTTTTCAGATCGGGGAAATTTTTGTATCCATGTGTAATATATATATATATATATATATATATATATATATATATATAATATATATATATATATATATGTATTATATATATATCTATATATATTTGTGACGTAACCTGGGAAACGGTACTCTCAAACAAGAAATGATATCAAGGACGGGTACATTCTTGCGTGATGGCTTCCAGGGGGTTTGTACGCTGCATTCGAAAATGATCGAAGACACTCTATTGTGGCAATTAAAAGTTTAATGATTGAAACACTATGTACAAAAAAATTCTTTCAATAGCGCAGTGCGGCAAGGCTTTAGTGATGCGTGCACAAGTACGCTACTTGAGCTTGCCGATGACTCCGCTGGCTGGGGCGAGGCGGGGCCGCCGTGGCAACGGCGGCGCGTGTTTCGGAAACTTCGGTCGCCCGAAGTTTGTCGGGAAGCGCTCTCCCTCGGCGGTCCGACTCCGCTAGCTCTCCCCAACGCAATGGCCAACGAGCTTCGCGGGTCCACCCCCTCAGCAGTAGCAAGCATATACCTTATACTAACATGCACAACGCATAATGCGTCGTCGGCAGTTCGATCTCCGAAGTTCTTCTCAATCCCACTTCGGAAATGTTGTCGCACGGTGGCGGCCCGCTGCTCACATCCGGGCGGAAATGACGCGTGTCTGTCGGCCATCAAACTCCAGTTTATGTTTTCACTGATCCGGTCCTGGTGCGCACTTCCTTCTCCTAATCTCCTGATTATAATTTTTTATCACTATTAATCTCCCACTTAATTGCTACAATCAATTCAAACTGTTTGTAATATACTATAAACTTGCTTGAGGCAGCACGCCGTCCGTGTTTGCATTCGCGCCTCTTCTGCGCACATGCCTAACCGTCCGCCTTGCTGCCCGTCTACCCCCGTTTGAGCGTTTGGTGGCAGCGGCGGCGGCGTTTTACTACGCTGATCAATTTAGTGCTTATTTTTACTTAGAATTAGTAATCAATTTTGATTGTTAATCATGCCAGAAAGCGTTCTTACGTTTCAATTATATATATATACACATGGATACAAAATTTCCCGGATCTGAAAACCGGAGGGAAAGTAGTAAGTACTGGTATTTCCCATTCTTTTTGACAAGAGTATTTGAGAGGAGAAGAAATCACAACTTGATGCTCACATCAATATACAAGTGAGTGACTTAAATGAACTTTTGTTTTAACATATTATTCAGTTGGAAAGGAGATTTCATTCCGCCAACCTGAAACGTTTTTAAATTTTGTACACAATCATAAGAAGGCCATTGAGATTAGGAAAAGTAAACCTAATATGGTGCAATCGTTATTGACAGTTTTGCCGAGACTCCCAAAACAATTTTAACCAAGACTTACGCCACGCATTGTTTAGTTCAAATATCCCTTACGCCCTTTAAAGAGTAAAGAGTTGTGCCGGAAATTGGGGGATTTTCGACAGAAAACACAGGCCCTGGTAACGAAAAAGTGGATAAATCTTGTTCCCATAAAATTATTTCTTCTAATGTGGTTTATAGTCAGAAGCCATGTTATGTGGGTCCTTGTTACAAAAAAATCGATTGATTTGACGGCAAAATGTGTCAGTGAGGCCATCAGTCAAGTCAACGACAGCGTCTAAAACGCTCAGCCGATTTTTTTAAATTGAATTAATTCATACAATTAATTGATTAAATAAACTCGAGGCTCTGATGTAATTGTAAATTACAATGAAAATAATTTAGAATTTCTATAATTTAATTTTTTTAGGCCATAATTTTGTATTTTTCAATTTCAAGTTGTATTTTTCAATTTCAATGAGTTAAACAATATGTAAACATGTAATTATAATAAAAACACTAAAAAAATAATATTTCATTAACTTTATATTCACATCCAAAGAGTGAAATAAGTTGATAAGTGGATTAATGGGAAATTTAAGGATACATAACACAGTTTTGCAAAGTTGTAATATTTTTTACTGCACATTTTTTGGTATTTTTTTTTTGCAATTGTAAAATAACTTAAAAGTATTTCAGGAAAAGACTTACACATCTTTTAATTTCTATTTGAAAAGGGCATAAAACTTTTGCTCAATTTCATCTGAGACAAACTCATTTGAATCACTGGATAGTGGTTTTGTTAGATTATATTTCCTTTCCACTTTCGGTTCACAAAAGTCATCATAATCCTCAGAGGCAACACACTTAAAAGAAGATGAACTGTATTCTTCACTTTCATAATCTTCAGATGCAGAAGGTTTTCTCAAATGCTTCAGAACTTCTGTGACATGGTCAGTGCAGTCATTGTCTGAAGAATCCTTTGATGTTTCACTCCAAGAATCTCTTCTTGCAGATGAAGCCTTTAAAGAACAGGGAATGATAAAATAGTTTTCAAAAAATTTCAAGTAAATATACCTTAACATACAAAGAGACAAGGTTTAAAATTTCGAAAGACTTGTCCTTGCCATCACCAATCACCAATAATACAAAAAATGTGCAGTCGTTGACCCACAACTTTAAATGTCTTTTCAACCACATTACATTCTCAAATGCTGTAGATTTCTTACCATAGAAAGTAAAAATTTTCTTCCTTGAGTAGCCTGGAATCCAGCTTGTACATCCACAGGAGCAGGTCTTTGAAAAGCATTCAAGGAGTCTGAATGCCCTGCCTCCTGAATTTTACGAGTATTATTATTCAACGAAGGGACCTGCAAATACAATAATAATAATAATAATAATAATAATAATAATAATAATAATAATATTCAAAATCAAATCTTGCAAAGTGCACTGCAGAAGCTTAATCAAAAAATTAGGACCACTCTTTATCAACACACACACCATCCCAACAGTTTAATGGCAAGACTTCCTTGGAACGACGGAGGTAGAGGTCTTCTGGATTTTCAGACCTGGAGTGCGAAACAAAAATTAACAATTGTCGCAAAATTATGGTTGTGCATGAAGCAATTTGTGCCAAGGGGGAGGGGTGGAAGAAAAAACACGCTACCAACCATTTTGTACAACCACACTACAGCAAAAAAAGACAATAATAGAAAGGAATGGAATCTTTTTACAAATTTCTACAGTATCTGAGGACCATTGCGAGATCCGTTTAAGAAATAAACTCATTCACATTCTCCTACAAAAACACAACTGCGGTACAAAGCTGTTTTATTTCAATGAATTTTTAAAAGAAATCGAATTTGAATGTATGTTACATCAAACTTTTGAATGAGTTTTACTACATAATGAACACTTCGAGTCGAAGCAACATGAAGGAAAATCCAGGGAGGCGCAAAAATCGAGTTTCAGAATAGTAGAGGGAAAACAGTAGTTATCGCGAAGTTTCTGCAGGAAGCAAATAGAAATTTTTAAAAATTCTCTAAAACCGCTGATTTTTAATTTTTTCCAGGGATGGAAGGAATTATTAAAAAATGGCGCAGGCCTCATTTTTGTTCAAGTCTCTGAATTTAGGAAAATAAGAAATTTACAAATAAAGCGAGAAAGTGCGTTCGCATGGAGCACCACTAGTTGTAATACAGTCCAAAACCGCGGGAGGTGAATAAAGGGCAACCTATTTAGCGGTGGCTGATGCCTGACCGCAGGCTATGGAACCATTCGACCCTTTAAAAGAGTGAAGTTTTACACGTCCCTTACGGAAACTAGAAGTACTACAACAGCTCATACTTTCTTGCATTATTGACTCAGCTATAAAGAGAAAAAGCGAAATTCAACCAATTGAAACAAGCACCTGAGGCGATATCACCATTATTTCGATAGTCAGGAACGGTTGTCATTTCTTACTTCTGCATATGAAACAAACATGAGTAAATTTAACTTTCACAGCATTTGTGGCGCATTACACACGGGTGACAGAAGTCATGGGATACCTCCATATATCATGTCGGATTTCCTTTTGCTCGGCGAAGTGCAGCAACTCGACGTGGCATGAATTCAAGTTCGCTCAAGTTGTTGGAAGTCCCCTGCAGAAATATTGAACCATGCAACCTCTATTGCTTTCCGTTATTGCGAAAGTGTTGCCAATGCAGGATATTGTGCTCAAAATTACCTCTCAATTATGTTCCATAAACGTACGATGGGATTCACGTCGGGCGATCTGGAAGGCAAAACCATTCGTTGGAATTGTCCAGAATGTTCTTCAAACCAACCAATTTCGCGAACATTTGTGGCCCGGTGTCATGGAGCACTGTCATCCATAAAATTCCATCGTTGTTTGGGACTAAGCCCATGGATTTCTGGAAATGGTCTCCTAGTAGCTGAACATAACCACTTCCAGAGTAACGAGAGTCCAACGCTAACGATTTTCGAAATGGAATGTCCCATGCGTCAAGCTCCAACTACCATTTCGCGATCGAAGTATGTTAATACTCCTCTACTGACATCTCTATATCTGCAGATTGCTAGCCCATGGCTTTTGTCACATCAGTGCATACAGAAAAGAAAAAAAATACACACAAGCGTGCCTTGATTACATCGAAGTGAGCTTCCAATTTTTGTACATCAACATAAGCGATCAAAACTTTTTAAAGTTAAGGATGCGTATTTATGATAAATCTATTACTTTCCTTAGATCTGTTTCCTTGCATAAGAATATTATTTAACATCATACGATCAACACACGCGCCAACAATGAGTAAAATTCTAAGAATATTAAATAGTCGTATTACCGCGTATCCAGCGCAAAGACGGCTTCAAAGGAGGCGCGAGAAATTCTAATTTACAATTGACGAGAAAACGTCGAAAATGATCCCAGCGCCGCTTTCTTTGCCATTCTTTGCTACATAGATGGAAAAACTTTAAAGAAAAAATGGAACCGTTTTTCAGAAACTAATTGTTTAAAATTTAAAAATTCCAGTAAAACAACAGTTTTCTGTCGAATTCGTTTTCCCCCGCAGCATTACAATACTTTCTCTACAACGTAAGACTCAACATACGTAAGCAGTAGGCGAGAGAGTAAAATTAATCTGTGCGACGAAAAATTATCGGTTATGGATCACTTAATCGAAGTAACCTTTGGGGCAGGTTTCGGGATTTGAAACCCACACGTGATATCGATTTGAACTTTCCTCCCCTTTGATAACACTTCAAGATTAAGGTCTCCGCGAAAATTCAGCTCAAGGGGATTCTTCCCGCAGTTACAGGGTTTTTTAGTGCAAGTTTAATAGACTATGAAGCCATAAGAGACCATACAGCAGAGACCTTAAGGATTCCCTGTAGAGGCAACAAGATACAAATAAAATGAACTGAATAAGAAAATTAGAGAGATCAAGAAAATCTGGAACAAATTATGTGATTAGAGCTACTGAAAGGGACTCGTAAGAGTATTCCCTCCAGAATAGCACCCAATAAAACAAATTGCAATATAATTACTTTGCAATTTATTGTGGTGTCCTACGCTGACCCCTACTTGCTCCGAAATGGCATTGGTAGAAGACTGTTAAAACATTTTCTAGTGTAATTCATAATTTAAACTTATACTTACACTTTCTAAGAGAGACTGGTGACGACTAAACGTTATTCGACCTTCGGCGGACAACTTATGCCGCACTCTCATTCTTTCTTGGTGTGAAAGGGGATCAGCACCTCCTGGTCGCCAAAAGTTAATTAGATGGTCATCTAAATTCTCATCCTGAAACATAAATACACACAATTCTGTGGTTACCCACAAAATATGTCTGGAAAATTATACAAGCAAATTGTTGCCATTTAAATCCTCTCAGATTGATATGGAACTATTATTGCAAATGTACTTATAGAATATCGGTAACATACGCTACATATGTATGGCTTACAAGAACAAGGTTACACCGTCCCAGTTTAGTTTTGAAACGCATACGCATACGAAGGTTGCCTTTTATGTTTCGGGATTTGGCAACCCTGGTGTTGCAATCTGGCAACTGACAGCTCTATCGTAAAGTTGGATGTTTTGAGGTTATACGTACTCAGAACGTTTTGACATACGAGCGCTATTTGTGTTGTTTACAGTAACTTAAAAGATTCACCTTGGCCCCAAAACGGAATTAAATCGTGAGCATTTTCGTGCGATTATTTTTTACAAATTTCGACGTGGATTAACTCAGTGACAGTGCATGGATGAACTTAATTCAATTTTTGGCGATGAAACTCCATCAAAGACCAGTGTTTATCGATGGTATGGTGAATTCAATCGTGGTCGTAGTTTACTCCAAGACGAGTTTCGCGAAGGTCGTTCAAAATCAGTTGATGTTCCGAAAACTATTAATGCTGTGCGTGAACTGATATAGCAAGTCATGTGACCTATCGTGAGATTGAGACAACCTTAGGCATTAGTAGGACCAGCATATATTCAATATTGCATGATCATTTGACTGTCAAAAAAATTTGTTCGCGTTGGATCCCACACAATTTGTCAATCGCTCAAAAAGAGGCTCCTGTCGATTGGCCAAAAGAAAGGCTCAAAAAATACGATCGCGGTGCTTCGGAACACGTCTATAACATCGTGACAGGTGATGAATCGTAGATTTACGCGTATGAGACCGAAAGTAAACAGCAGTCGACTGTATGGGTGTTTCAAGATGAGCATAATCCAACAAAAGTTGTTCGCGAACGAAGCACTTCCAAACAGATGGTCGCCTGTTTTTTCGGAAAAACTGGACATGTCGCAACCGTACCACTAGAACGCAGAACAGTCAATTCTGAGTGGTACACAACGATTTGTTTGCCAGCTGTCTTCCAAGAAATCAGGAAAACCAACCACCGAAAATGGATCACTCTTCACCACGACAATGCGAGCTCTCACACATCGGCTCAAACAAATGCATTTTTGAGCACCCAGAACATCGATTTGATGAGTTATCCGCGGTATAGTCCTGACTTGGCACAGAATTTCTTTTTATTCCCGGACGTAAAAAACAAACTGAGAGGTCAACGTTTTTCGACACCTGAAAAAGTGGTGCTGCATTCAGAATCCATGTTTTGGATTTACCTCAATCAGAGTGGCAAAAGGGCTTCGACAATTGGTTCAAACGCGTGCAAAAGTGTATAGATCTTTATGGGGAATATTTTGAAAAACAATAAAGTGATTTTCGATGATTAATACTTGTTTTTGTTGTCTAATCCTGAAATATAAAAAGCAACCCTCGTATGATCTTACATGAATTAATTGTAAGTACATATAAGATACTTACAGTAATCTCTTCCACTTCTATTTCTTCATATTTTGCTGCTTCTTCCAATTTCTGTTCACGATTTGGTATTTCCTAGAAATAATAATATAATTAAATGTTCAAGAAATGCGTATATATTAAAATTACAATCAAAACAAAAATCTGATCACAAGGTTTGAAGATGTCATGGAGAATAGTTATCACTTGTATCTCTAGTTTAGTTAGCTAAGCATTCTATTGCTCTTATTGGCAAGTATTGGAGTAGTCAAATTCTTTACTTAGATCAAATGTTTTTTTAAATGCATTTGGAAGTATTTGGATTATATCCTTTAAGGTCAATGGACGTGAATACGATTTTATTACAAAACAAACTACAATAGTAACAATATGAACAGACACGGGAATGTTTTGCAGTATTGTTGAGTAGTCGGTTTGTAATGGTTTAAGATATATTTTCTGACGAAGCTTGGTTTTATCTCAATAGCCATTAATAGTCTAAATGTTAGGTATAGGGGAACAGGAAACAGTCACATTGTTCACCAACGTCCACTACACTTCGTTAAAGTCGGTGTATGGAGAGCAACCAACGGCAAGATAATAATTGGGACCTAATTTTTCACGGAAACGATAACTAAAACCGTTATGTGCATGTCCTGCAGCCTTTCTTCCAAATGGTGAAATGAATAGCATAATTACGATCATTTTCAACAGGACTCCGCAACCTGATACAGTGCTCCAGTCTCCTGAAGGGTTTACATGGCGTTTATGGAGACCCAATTACCACACGTGGTTTGTGGCTTTCAGGCCCTCCTGATCTGAGTCCGTGCGATTTTCTTCCTCGGGGATTCCTGAAAGTTCCCATTGATGCGCTAAATCGCCACACGGAAGAATTATGGCACAATATTGTAACGTCGCACCCTCCGTGAAGGGACCTGATTTACTCCACCCCCGATCCCATTTAAACCATTCGGCGCGAAGCGTGTGGTGCGGGCATTCAGCGCGATTCCTGCCCTGCGCCGCCGGCTGACATTTGTGTGCCCTCCTGCGGCCTGTGACTGCGTGCGACAAATACGCCCCCTACCGACGAGGACACAGCCGCCCGCTTCCGATAAGTGGCAAGGCTCTCCTCACGGAGCCACTGCCGCACTGCCGCCCGCCGTGGGAGGGGGAGGGTGCGGCGCGGGTAGGATTCGCCGACGACGAAGAAAGAAATGCATCAGGGAAAACGCAGCGGCGAGTGCCACAGAGGGAAGATCTCCGTTTGAAGCAATGCTCTGCTACCAGCCTCGGTGTACGCCAGCGCGCTGCTATGCCTACGTGTGAAGGGCAACACGAACCTGGGTGCAGGTCATTGCGTCCCCATGCCGCATCGGGGCGCCGCCAAAAGGTTTCTAGGGAGACAAACGACCGCCGTCTTGCTTTCTTTAGGTCGATTGAAACCGTTATTTTGGAGAAAGGAATATTTTCAAAGACTGCCGTGAAGACGAAGAGGCGTACCCCCGCCCCCACGTATAGGCCACGTTAAACCGTGCACCAAAAATGCACCGGAAATTTCTTTTTGTCGCATGAACAAACGCACCATTGGCCCGAAGATCGCCCCGCCACAGCCCTCAATAGATGATTTTAAGCAATCGCGGTGAGGCGCTCGGATTAGAGCGGATTGAAGCCTTCGCTCTGTTGCATGTGAAGCTCTGAAACGACTTGATTTTGGAATTTCGAAGATAAAATTGTGACTTGGCCTTTGGTCTCGACATCCGACTTGCAATGACGGGTTTTACGTTTCGAACTTGACTTGGCACTTGCAAATTTACAACTCAAAGACGTACTCCTAATGTACTGGCTTGCACTAGCACGAACTTTCAATTTAATTTCGGCACTAGGGTCGTGCTTAGAAGTCTTAAGATCATCTTAACTTTTGCTCCGTCCGGCACTTTGACTGCCTGATTCTGAAATCGAACTCAGCCTATCGCCACGTGAACGCGGTGGGCCCTGAGCTCGGGCGTCGTCTTGTGCGACGAAAGCGACGACCGATGCGGGTCGTTGGCTGCTGCCATCACGCCACACCGCCGCGGGAGGCTGTGATCGAACCGAGGACCGCGTGGAGGCTGCCTGCCTCCCGCAGGCTCTGCCAGCGCCCATTGCACGCTAAGAATTTTGTTAATGACCCTTAATCGGGCCCACTGTCAGCTCTGTCCCACGCTCGGAGACGAAAAGACTGTTCAACGAAGGAAGCTGACAGACTAAATACCACCAATACGGCATATTATATGCAACATCAATTTTTTTAAACACCCCAATCAAACTTGTAAGTCGCAAGAACTAAATCATAAATTCTAGTAATTTTGTAAATTCATTCATTTGTATAATCATCATCGTCATTTTATATTTTGATTTAATGTCTTGTGAAATTTATTCTCTGTGTTTTATTGAACATGCAATCCCGTATCCAAAGACACCAACGGCAGGTTATAATAAACAGGAACCGATCTCTGCAATACCACAAGACATCTTAACCGAGTGAACCAGAACTTGTTTAGATGTCAACAATGTATCAGAGCAGACTGTGACGAGCTCCAGCATCTACTATAACGAAAGTACAATTTACAATTCACGGTAGCAAGAAGCCACTTTACCTCTTCGATTGTACCGACCGCCCAGTCTCGATTTCTGCGGAACGCGTCGGTGGCTAAGACAAAATCCCCGCTCGACCTGCACAGCTATAAAATGGTCGCACTGCAGATAAACATTTTCGTAACGTTCTCCCATTATCACATTCCTTATAGTAGTACACAAATTAAATAATAAATGACAAAATAACGAACAATGAACGACAAGTCGCCGTTGGGACGGCACCAATAAGGTAATTTCACGTAAAATGGGACAGACAAAAAACCTGAAGTGTTTCAAATTCTCTAATACCTTTTTTACATTATTTATTATGAAATGTAAAATACGATTTTTTTAGCTGAGAAAAAATATTGTTTGCAGTTACAATTATCGAAAGTTTTTAATTTTTCTCCAATACCGTGATGTTTCATAATTTTTAGCTTCAAATGTATTTCTTGTAAATATGTATACTTGATGTCAAAGCTTAAGAAGCAATCTTTCAATCAATGTTTATGAATATTTGCTATTTCTTATATTGTACTTTTTAAATTGTTTATGATTTTTTAAACCAATTTTTTAAGGTAATCCCCCTGATTTTTTGTTTTCAACTCGACGGCAATAAATTCTTTAGACTTCCATCTCCATCTCTGCAAAATTTCAAACGACTTCCGTTTTAGAACTCATGTAAAAAAAAAAGTTCAATGTAGCGCGAAGTATTTGCTCGACTCGTGCCATGTCGCTCTATCAATGCTCCCTGAGCTCTTCCTCCACTGGGCTTGCGGCCTTGCGCAACACTCCCCACGCCCGTTCGTCCATGTCGGCAGGACGTTTTCCACCCAAGGCAATGGCAGGAAGTCGACCACGCAATACAAACACATTTTTTCATCCAAGAGCGTCTTTATTGCCGAACGAGCCAGAGGGGCGCGATCGGTTCAGTTCCACTGAAGCAGTGACAGTGCAAGTAATATCCTCGTTTGTGACGTGTGTATGAGTGCCCGTGAGTTTTTTTCTTGTGTGGGAGAGTGACAAAAAGGAATCGAAGATGGCAGGTACAAGGAAGATACGCTTTAATTCATTTTCAATCTAGAAAATCATAGCAGAACAGAATGTAATAATTTAATACAGGTAACACAAAGTATCCTTGAAAAGTTGCGCATACAACATATACAAATTACGGCGAACTTGGAAATTTGTAACAGATGCAAATGAAAAACTTCAAAATTGTTTATAAATGAAAATAAAACTTCGACAGGAACCGTTAATACATTTTGCAGCAAGCCTGGTGCAAGTCATTAGAGTAAAAATTGAGAAGATGATGATTATCCAGGTTTAAGGACGCTTCAACAGCTAAGCTCATTGGCGCCCGTGTCATATTATTTTAAGGGCAATACGCACTGTAGCAGTGCCAGACTAAAAGCAAACGTGTCCAAGTATTTAAAAAGGGGTGGGCAGAAAAGAGGCAGATAATCACCTTAAAATCTCCAATTATAAGCCAAATAATTGGCATAATCCTCTTCTCTCAGATAATGCTGTAAATGTCACTCTCGTCAGAAGCTAAAAAGGTTGCAGAGAGAAGAGTAGTCATTTCCAAGTACTTGTGCTAGCAAGGTGATGATTTCGGGGGCTACAGGAGAACATGCTCCACGGTAAGATCCGTCTCGCACCTATCGCAAGTGGGGAGTGAGTCACCGCGGAGAAGATGGAAGTGGGAGAAATGGCAGTGACCGATCCGAAGGCGTGTCAGAATTATCTACTCGCGCCGAGACCCACGATATGAGGAAGCCCAAGGCTTTCTGGAATCCTTGATTCTCGTGAGTTTAAAATCCAAGTTCTGCCACTTTGTTTGCAATGCACTGAGAATACAGCGTTTGATAAAGAGCTTCGCATCATTTGTTGGGAATGTGAGGATATCTACCTCAGTTTTCTTCGTGGCGGGTTTTGCTGCCTGGTCAGCAAGTTCGTCCCGTTTTCCCAACGTGAATAGGGATCCAACAAAAAAAATTATAATGTCGCTCCAATAAATTATGGTTTTGCTGTTGAATGATCATTGTCAGAGGGTCACAAGAAGAGAAGTAGGAGATAGATTCGAGCGAGCTTTTTGAATCACTGCAAATCACAGCTAATGTGATCGATTTAGCGAACTTAAATGCCTCCACGAGCGCATATTATTCTGCAGTATAAGCGCTGCACGAAGGGTCTATTCAAAGACTCAGCGAGGCACTGTGGCAGTAGAAGGCACACCCTACATTACCATTACTGATCAGCACAAGTTATAGCCGAGATACATGGATTTCGTCTTCAGGACTTCCGCCAGAGATGTACTAGAGGGAGTTGAGGATTTGGGGAAGTGTGAGAATCTCAGGTCATTTTAGACCGGCGATGCTTCTAAGGGGGAACAAGACTTCGGGGGGGGGGGTCACAGAGATGGGGAGTTTTAAATTGAGTTTCTGCAAAAGCATGCAGAAACGGATACCCGGAGAATGGGG